CTTCTCTTCTCTTCTCTTCTCTTCTCTTCTCTTCTCTTCTCTTCTCTGCTCTTTTCTTCTCTGCTCTTCTCTTCTCTGCTCTGCTCTGTTCCTTTCTTTCTCTTCTCTGATCTTCTCTTTCTCTTCTCTTTTCTTTCTCTTCTATGCTCTTTTCTCTTTCTCTTCTGTTCTCTTCTCTTCTCTTCTCTACTTTTCTTTTCTCTTCTCTGCTTTTCTTTTCTCTTCTCTTCTCTTCTCTTCTCCTCTCTTCTCCTCTCCTCTCCTCTCCTCTTTCTCTTCTCTTCTATGCTCTGCTTTTTCTCTTCCCTTCCCTTCCCTTCCCTTCTCTCCTCTCCTCTCCCCTCCTCTCCTCTCCCCTCCCCAGACTCAATTTCACTAAAGTTTTTATGATGGTTGTTAAGTGGTTTGCCATGATCATTAAGTGAACCACATACTAGTGAGGGCAAACCCATTTTATCCAATGGGTGTTTTTGCCATTTTCCCAACAAAAAATATTGCAAAACACAGTCGTGTGACCAAGGGAGACCAGTGGTAAATGCGAGCCTGTTGCTAAGCACCTGAAATGTGAATGTGTGACGGTAGGGATCGTGCTACAGTTATAACTTAGAGGACAAGTCATAAGTAAATTTTTGTAAGTCCATCTAACTTCAAACAGTTGTTAAGTGACATAACAAGGACTCTGTGTTTGCCATTCATTTGCTTAATGGATATAGATGGCTGACAAATAGCGAAAGCATTAAAATGTAAGTGGTACAGAACACAAAAGCTAGAACAGTGGTTTTACAAGGTCAGTGAAAATAAATATGTTTTCGCTCTGATTTTAAATTTAGTAAGCAGTAAGCAGGGGCCTTGCTTCAACTACAGTGGCAGTTTATTCTATTTTATAAGCCTGTACCATGAAGAAAACTTAAATTTGTTGTTGACGTCAAAGCTAGCCTAGGACCAATAAAAAACAGACCACTAATAAACAGAGTATGTTGGGTAGACAGTAGGGAAATGACTCATTCTTTAAATAGCTTAGATCTAAGCCACGTGTTTCACTTATTTTGGAATTTACATTTTAAAATTGGTTTTCTCACCCACTGTTTTATTTATTTATTTATTGTATTTGTCCAGCATGTAATTGATAACATGTATAAGTATAAACATAATTATAAATATATGAAATGGATACAAATAAAAAGGAACATTAAGACAGGAAAGGTAGGCATATTGGTGTGCTTATGCACACCTCTTACAGACCTCTTAGTAATGGGAGTGAGGTCAACAGTAGATAATCTAAGATTAAAGTTTTTGGGGTTTGGGGAAGAAATCACAGAGTTTACTTATTTATTCACTCTACTGTATACTAGAAACAGTTAATGGATAGCACTAAACAGGCCACTTTTGAACCCAGAATATGATCTAAAGCAAGAAGTAAATAGAAAACATTTGATTCAATCTTGCAGAGAAGCTTATCATTAGCTTCTTGTCACTTATTATTATTCCTATTAAACTTGGTGTGTATTTCTTGGAACATAGTCTGTAAACCACAGATAGGACTTTTTGGAATAGGATCAATGATCTATATATACTAGCTGTGTATCTGTCTCATCTATCTAATTATCCAAAAGATATTAGTTTGATGTTGTGGAGAAAGTGTTGACCTAGAAATCAGGCCAACCTTGGGCATGAAAACTGACTGGGTGACTTTGGCCCAGTCATTATCTCTCTTGACCCAGCTCAGTTAATAATGATGTGGGGGAAATAGGTAGCAGGAGTATTACTTATGTTCATCAACTTGAGTTAAATATATAAAAAGGCAGGATAAAAATGTTATAATAATAAATAATATCACAAAGGTATTTTAAAAATCAATAACAGTAAAATAGCTTGTAGCTTCAGTGTACAAACTAGAATTACACACAACACTTTTCAGAGCATCTCTCTATACATTCAAAATAACTTCATACTCTATATTCATAAATGCAGCCTAAACACAAGTCATATAGAGAAAATAATGTAAAGTAGATAAATGAACAGAGGTGGTCAAAGCGTAGAATTTCTTTTAGAGTCACAGTGACATGAAGTAGGTACTGGGCAATTTCTATAGTATCCTCTATGGCCAAGAAGTCACATTATTTTTGCATTGGGTAGTTGTGGGTATTATGCAGATCTAAAATCACAAAATAATTTTAAAGTGATATAGTAGAAAAATATTTAAATTCAGTTCTTTAGGGATATATATGTATTCAAGACCTGCATCCTTCACCAATTAGTACGCAAAGATTTATTTTGAAAACTAGAGTAACTAAATACTGCAGGCTTTATACAGCCCAATAATAAATCCTGCAACAGATTAAAGTCACCAAATCATATATTACCTTAATTGGATGAAATAATATTGTAGGTCTTATCCTGATGATGTGCTGTACCCAACAACATGCCACCAGATCACATCTCCTACAAATAGTTCTACCAAAATTATAGTAATTGGTGCTTAAATCACAATTTCAGGAATATTAGATTCCTATTCCCCAATTATCCCTGGAGAGCTGTTAGGGTTTGGAGATTAACCCCTAGCAGAGTATTGCAGCAGTAGT